CCTCCTCCCCTTCTGCCTCCCCGTCTGTCTCCGCCTTGCCCCCTCCCGTCTCGTTCGACTCCTCTTCTCGCCCCTGTGACGTGGGCACCGTCGACAAGGAGACGAGTTGCTCCTGGACCTTGTGCAGGCGCCGACGGAGGAGGGCGGCCCTCTCACGCCCAGAAGCCACGTGCTCCTCGGTGCGGGCGCCAGAGACCAGCTTCAACAAGTGGAGCTCTTGGTTGCAGGCGGTGATCTCCCTCTTGAGATCTTTCCGCAGAGCCTGGTACTTGCCCAGCTCTTGTCCCGTCCCTTTTGCGTCTTGCCTCTCCTTCTTGTTCTTCTCTGCCTGCTCTGCCTGCTTCGGCTGCTTCCGTGACAGTCGCTCCTGCTCGTCCTGCTCCTGTTCGTGTTGCCGTTGCTGCTGCTTTTTTTTTTGTTGCTTCTTTTTTGGTTGCTGCTTTCTTTCTTGTAGCATGTAGCGTTGCTGCGGCGATATTGTCGTTTTGGGCTGCTTCTCATCTTCCTGCTCCTGCCCTTCTTGCTCAAGTTCTTGTTGCTCCTGCTTCTGCTTTTTCGATTGCTTTTGGTCTTGTCGCACATATCTTTCTTGTGGGTACATGGCCTTTATCTCCTGCGACGGTGATATTGACCCGTGCGACGGTTGTTTATCGGCTGCTGGTGGTCTCTCTCCTTGTGGTGGGGTGGGGCGACGCGGCGGTCCAGGAGCAGACAGAGGGGAGGTTGAGGGCGAAGGCGGGGAGAAGAGGGGCGCGCTCATCGCTTTCAACAACTGTTGCTGCTCCGTCAACAAGCGCTCGTAGTAGAGGAGCTCCTGGAAGGTAAAAAGGAAGGGAGGAAGTGAGGAAGGGAAGAGGGAAGGGGAGGATATCGGGAGAGGGAGGGAGGGAGAGAAATATCCGTCTTTAGGGGCACTTCGCACTCCAAGTACCTTCTGCCGCTCCTGCAGCACCTTTCGATGCTCCCATTGCACCGCTTCCTCAATAGCGCGGCTAGAGGCGGGCACCGCGGCTGCTGCTAGGGTCCGTGCCCTCTCCTCGCTCTTCCCGCTCGTCCTCTCCCCCTCATCCCTGCTGGACACCTCCTCCTGCATCACATCCCTTCCCTTCCCCTCGCGCCCTTGCAGGCTTCGCACACCCTGTTTTGCCTCCTCACCACTCCCTCTTTTGCCTCCACCTTCTTGCGCTGTGGAGAGACACGGGCTCCCCTGGCCCGGGCTGCGAGCACTATTTTCAGACAGCGGTCGCCCTGACGTCTCCTTCTCCTTGCGCGGGGCCCGACCTTCACTTTCCAAGCTGCTGCTATCATACCTGTCGTCGCTGTCACTATCCTTTGAGGAAGAAGAGGAGGAGACCGTGGACCGTTGGCGGGAGGAGCGAATGAGGGACTCGTCCTCGTGGAACTCTGTGCGAGAGGAGGAAGCCCGCAAGCTCGAGGATGAGGCCGCGTTGTCCTCTTCATCCTGAGCGCTTCGACTTTGAGATTCCGAGGCCCCTCGTGCATCTCGCCCATGGATGGGATGAGCCCCTTTCTTCATTTGTTCCTGTGCGTTCACGTCGTGTCGGGAAGGAGCGAAGGGGGGGAGGTTGAAACGCACTATTGCATGCTCCAGCACAGCCCATTGCCACCTGACAGAGGCTGCAGACTATCGCGCGCGAGTAAAGCAGGACATTGATCGACATAATGGTCATATGTGGGCACAATTGCGGCAAGGATGCCTAGAACACAAGCAAAAGAGGACGTGGAGGAGCGTACACGATGATGCCGACGCATTCGAGGCGGTCCCATCTCCCACGTTCGTGAGGCGATGGTAAGGCTCGCAAAGCAATTAAGACCGAAACAGATGGCCCCTTACGTCTTGCATGGATAGGAAATGAGATGGATTTCGTGATGCTCGAATCGGACGGGGTGTCGATGTCCCAGTCGCCGTTTTTATGCCAAAGCCAAAGCCCGCCTCTGAGGGACGAGGAAACTAATGCGTGAGGCAGTTGTATGCAACATTGCGTTCATTTCACCTCTCGTATGATTTTCAAATGGAAGACAATAACGTGTACGCACGCCATACAGGGCAACGAAGGCGATGCAAGGGTTCGTCCAATCACCAGAAGCGTTTTCTCCTGGAAGGGGCCATAAAAGGGCAAGTGCTACCACAGGACGTATTGGGGACAAGAGAGAGGATTCACGCGAAGAGGGTGAGCCGGCGGAGACAGATCAAGACACAGTCCAAAGCTCCCATGGAAGGGATAGTGCAGCGAAAGTGAGTGAAGATTCAACCGTTCAGGACCAACATGGTGTTAGAGACGAGAGCGCGAATGCGAGAACGACTGTCAGGAACAGGGTGATGGCCCCGCACGTTTTATCCGGAGCGGAGTTGGTGAGAGAGGACAGACAGACAGGGTTGCCTCAGGACGGATCCCCTGGAACACCTGGAGCGGCACCACGAGGGGACGTTGGTGAGGTACCGGCATGGCCTGCGCACGCAAGGTTTAATCAGGGTCATGCCAAGACTGAGGGCCTTGATGCCTCTGCCAGCCCCCCGGGGGGGGCGCCTTTCTTTTCGCAGCCCCCTTCCTTCACTCAGCTCCCTCCACACTGGGCGACCGCCATAGATCCCTCTACGGGGGCGACGTACTACTATCACGAGCGGACGGGTGCATGCTCTTGGAAGCCTCCCCCCTCTCTCCCTCCGTTCCACTCTCCCTCCCTCCCTCCCTCCCTTCCTCCTTCCTGGGACCCCTCCCTGGGATGGCGGGGACACGCGACCACGCTCTGCGGCCCACATCTACCGCCTGAGCTGAGGAAGCTGCACGCAGCCCTGGAAAAGGTGATGGAGAGGAGTGGTACCGGGGAGGGGGGTAGGGGGGAGAGGAGAAGAAGGGAGAGAGCATAACGGGGGCATTGTGAATGACGCCAGTAGCGATAGCAACGAATATGGGGCGAGAATGATCGAACGAACGAGCAGCAAGCGCCGCTGGCAAGAGCCCGGGGCCAGAGCAAGTCTTGCGGGGGCTCCGCCGCCTGATCCCTCGCATGCCCCCTTTTATCCAACCGGGCTGCCCTCCCCTTCCTCCCCTCCCACTTCCACCCTCAGGTTCCCCTCCCGCTCCCTGACGCGGATTCCCCGCCTTTCCCTCCGCTCCCCGCCCCCGAGCCCTCTTTGGACCAGACGTGGGTGAAGCTGTGCGAGGAGGGAACAGGGCGTGCTTTTTACTACAACGTGGTTTCTCAAGCGAGGCAGTGGGAGGTGCCTATTGGCTACCAGGTCTGTGGATTGTCTGCGCTGTTGGTTAGGTCCGTCGATTCTGATCTTCTGTTCTGCTCCTTTGTCTCCTTCTTGTCGTGGTCCTACCATAAGCGAGAAAGCGAGATGATTCCTGCTTGTCTCCTCCCTCCTCTCGACTTACAGCCCTTTCTGCGATTTTCATTTGCCGCACAGGAAGAAAACAAGGCCACCTGTCGTGTTGA